ATTTTAGATAAAAAGTTATTTTAAACTTTAATAAACAACCCGGGCATCGTACGGGGCACAAAACTAGTATATATATAAAACAATTTTCAATTTGCAATCAAACTAGGTTCAATACCAATTTTGTATTGGCTTAATGGAAAGAATAGCACCTTCTAACCTATATTAAATTGACGATAGTGTGCAACTAAACCCTAGATTATGAATTTGAAATTCAATGATTAAAAAATAAATAAAAATTCTTACCTCAGAAGCTGTTTCAATGGAGGAGAGAAAGCTCAGAAGCGGGGCTTCAATGAAGAACTCTTCAATGGAGGAGAGAGAGGAGGGTACAGAGTAAAAGTACAAACTGACTACGTTGATTTTAGCCTTGTAAGAATAACAATATACTTACTCGATATTCTAGAAGATTTTATATATTTTTCCAAAAAAGCAAACATGTATATATTGATATTTCCTTCTAAAAAAACGCAAATATATAAATATAGCAGCACACTTACTTTTTTTTTTATTATTATTATTTAGAAGGAAATGAAAGATGTCCTAAATGACACTAAATTTCATTAATTAAAGCCATACGACATCTACAATTGGCAATTAAGGATAATGAAAACGAATTCAACATAATCAAACAAGAATTAATCGGGAAAGGGCTAAGAATCCAAATACATAAATATAACAATTCGGCACATTCTCGAATCATTGTCTCATACAACTTTTTGAGTGGATCCGTCGTCGTTTCTCAATTTTGTGAGAAAGTAAATTATTGTGTTGATTCTGTAACCCGAATCCGAGCCATAATCAATCGTAGCCCCGCACAAACGGAGACCAAATTAAACACAAATAAAACCTTGTCTTTCGAAGGAGTTTGAAAAACCTTGTCTTTTGAAAGAGATCGAAAAAACCTTGTCTTTCGAAGGAGATAAACCCTTTCTTTCAAGAGAGACATTATTATACAATAAGAAACAAAAAGCTTAAAAGAAAATAAATATTGGGGCTTTCCACCGGTGAAATCCGATGGAAGCCCCTTCAAAATTGACAATGGAGGCTAGAGTTTAGGAGAGAGAAGAGAGAGAGGAGGCTAGGGATTTTTTTAAAATTGTAATTTTCCTATTAATACACTTAATTATTTTGTATTCTAGAAGATCCCATATATATTTTTTTTAAAAAGACACACCATGAAGTAATTAACTTAAGGGGTCGTTTGGTTCGCTATAATGGGGAAAGGGAATGGGAATGATTACCTTTGTTGGTGTTTGTTTTCCCTTTTTTATCATTCCCATTCCCCCTTTTTATTTTTGGGTTTACCCAAAATCCTCCTAATCCCATTCCCCATCCCCCGTACCCTTCCTATTCTCTTTCCCCAACCACCACCATACCTCATCAACTGGATGCACCTCGCCGGAACTTGCTATACCTCGCCGAAACTCGCTTCACCTCGCCGGATGCTCGCTGACCTTCCTCCGACCCTTGCCGCCTTTCGCTGCCTCTCCTCCCACCCGAAAACCCTTCTCTCGACCCTCGTGTAACCCTTAAAAACCCTCCCCTCCACCGGAACAATCGGTCGCACCTCACCAGGTTGGAGGAGGGGCGGCGAACAACCGTCGGAATTACGGCCCAACCCTCGGTGTTGCTGGGGAAGTTCGATAAGTGCGTTTTGGTCGGGATTCGGTCAGGATTGCTGAGGTCGAGGACAAGAAGGGTTCCAGTGTGGATTGCTATTCGATGGACCTCACCAGGTATAGGGAGGGGCGGCGAAGGTCAGAGGAAGGACGGTCGGTTCCGGTGTGGTGTTGGTTGGGCGGTATGGTGGCTGGAGAAGGTGGAAACTAATGAAGGAAGGGGTGCAATGGTTGTGCTGCGGTGGTTCTATGGTGGTTTCATTCCATTCTCCTCCATTCACACCAAACAACACCCTAAATTCTAAGGATTTCATTCCATTCTCCTCCATTCCCTTTCTGCATTCCATTCTGATTACCTTGTGCGAACCAAACGACCCCTAAATATATTCACACTTAATTATGGCAACTAAAAATATCGTTTGATATATCATAGCATGTAATATTACAGTTGACTCAAATACAAATATCATGCTTTGAAATTTTGAATGAAAAAATGGCAATTACTCATACTACAATAACGTTTTTTGAGATATATTCTCTTATATAAGTTAACAAATGAGATTTTTTTATTTTTTATTTTTATTTTATTTATTTTTATTTTTTATTGTATCCATCTTCAAGATATGATTTAGTTAGTATCATCTTGATTGTACCAATTGATAATTTTTTTTTATTATAAATTAAATATCATACTTAACTTTATAAGTGTTTTTTTTTATAGGGAAAACGTTAAACTTTATAAGTACTTGATTGTATCAATTGTATATACTACATTAATAAAATCAATAATACAATTAAGGTTTGAAAAATCTGGTAAATAAACCGACACAATCAAGTACTTATGTCGAACCACCTCTACCGTGATGTGCCATTGCCTCTTGCACTCTTCATTGCCTAATGGTTCCCAACAGAATGCCATTACACGCAAAAAAAATAAAAATTATACCATGATACGAAGAAATTAGAATAGCAACACGGTACAAGGGAAGAATTTAAAATAAAATGTTTTTTTATTTAAAATGTCAATTAATACTTGCCTTCCACACCTCATCTATCGTTATGTTGTTGTTAATGTTGTACAAGACTACAACTAAAGTCCAATAATTTAGTTTAGGATACTAAGGCAATAATCCTAGAAAAGAACTACCCCCCCCCCCTCTCTCTCTCTCTTTCTCTCTATCTCTCTATCTCTCTCTCTTGTCCCTTCATCATTGTCATTTCTAGAAACTACTCCCTCAAGATATTGCTATTTACCCAACTTATTTTATTATATGACCATCTAATATCCCTATTTACAGCAAAAAAAAAAGGTAATTCAATAAAAGGGCAAAGGATGTCATCAATTCATCAAGATTAAAAAATTATCAGTTTACTGCTTCTATAAGAAGTGCAGACAGAGCATACAATCCATACAAGTACTTGAAAGCAAAGTAGAAAATATAATTCCAAAACTTACCTTGTCTTTCTCTACTTTCTCAGTTTTCTCTTGTTCTTAGCTTGCAGCTTCATGTATCTTTCATGAGCTATCTCTGTTTTTCCAACTCCTCCCTAAAAAATAAATCATATTATAGTCATATTATGAATAGTGTTACCATCTTCACTTAAACTAACTCAAAAACATCCATCAGATCTAACCAACTAATGGAAACTTCTCAGCCTCTAGCTACTAGAGACAATGAAAGCTCTAGTAAGGGCGGAATAGTCATTACGCATTATGTGAGGACATAACATACATGCATATGCTAGTAAGGGTAATAATGGAATCTGAAATAAGTCAATGGAATAAAGAAATGAAGAAATAGATTCAGGAGTCACGTGAATGAATGTAAGCCATTTTTTGGGTTTGAAGCGCCAAAAACTAGAGAGATAAAGTGGTGTTCCAGTGCGGCGAATGCATCCCCAATTTGGGTAACCTGGGTGGAATATAATGGAGGATGCAGAGACCGGCGTTAAGCGTGCACTAAATCTTGTAAGTTATAGAGTATCGAACAATTTATTCATTTATGTGAATTTGGGTACTACTATGGCTATATAATAGATCTGTTGTGAGGATCAAATTTTGAATGTAATTAGTGAATGTTGTTGGGTTGGGAAGTCGTTGGTGAATTTTGTTTGTTCAATGTTGTTCATTGTTATGAATATTAATCTCAAAAACGAAATGTAGCTGAATTTTTTTGTGATTGTTGTTCTTGAATTGGTATTATGTGTGGTTGTTGTTGTTCAATTGTTGGCGTTATTAAAATTATGTTGTTGTTGATGCGAAATTTGGAAATGCAAAAGAATCTATAAAGGGAGAACTGTGTTGGCGAAATATGATTTCAAATTTCCTCGATTAAGATTGTGTTGAAGAAGAAGGTGAGGACAAGGTTGTGTCGTACGTTGTACTTGGTTGTTAATTTGATTTTAAACCATGTGAAATTGAATTGTGTTGTTGTGTTGGTGTAATTTTTATGTTTGTTGGCACTTTTTTTTGTTGATAATGTAGTTGGTATCAAAGTAGTGATAGTTTGTATTATATGTGTCGATGATGTTTTGTTGCTTTTTATCTGATTTTACATTCGTATTGAGTTAACGAATGTTTTGTAAGGTGAGTAATTGATACAATGAAATGGATTGTATGCAGAACAATGATGTTGGGGTTAATTTAGATGTGGATACTGATATTTGTATAGATGAGGATGATGAGGTTGTTATTGATGAGAATGATGTGTTTGAGAATATTGAGGATATAGATGAGAATGAGGGTGATGAGTGTGTGGTTACAGAATTTAAAGGAAGGGAGAATGTGGCATAGGGACATGATGATGTGAATGTCCCAGGTGGGGTAGGGGAGAATGTTGGTGGGGAAGTAGCAGGAGAAAATAATGGTGGAGTGAAGTTAGTTGATGGACCTTCTGTGGGAATGGTGTTTTCTTCCTGGGATGAAGTTAATCATTACTACAGGAGCTATGGCAAACAACAAGGTTTTGGTGTTGTATGTGTAGGTGGTCGAAAGCCATTGAAAACTGAGGAAGCCAAAACTGTACGCAATTACGTGTGGAAATGTAAGTGTTATGGGTTGGAACAATATAGGAGAGTTGTGAATGGGAAAAGGGTATTTGTGAATGTAGACCCTTTGGTGAAAAAGAAATCTAAAAAGTGCAACTGCCTTGTTGTTTTGTATGCAACGATGCATGAACTAGGGGAATGGGTAGTGATCAAGGTTGTTAATGAGCACCAGGAGTACACTTCGAAACCCAGTCACTCTAATCATATTGTCATGTTTAAAAACGAAAAAATTACAAAGACGGTTGAGGCAAGAATTGACAATGATTATGGGGCCAGCTCTTCCATACCTCAAATTTATAATAATTTAGCTCACTAAAAAATGGGTATGAGAATATGGGACTTTCTAAAAAAGATATGTATAACATTGTAAATAGAAAGACAAGGCTGAAGTTAAAGTATGGAGATGCTATGGCAATGCTAGATTATTTCCATAAGATGACTGTAGATAATCAAAAAAATTTCCATATGCATAGAGTAGATGGAGCTAGGAGGTTAAAGGATGTAATGGGGGTTGATGCTCGTAGTAGGGTTGCGTATGAGAATTTCGGGGATGTGGTATATTTTAATTTAACTTATATGACAAATAAGTATCACATGCCTTTTTCTAATTTTGTAAGAGTAAATCATCATGGGCAAAGTGTTCTTTTGTGATGTGCTTTGTTGTCTCACAAGGATGCAAAGACGTTTGTGTGGTTATTTAAAATGTGGCTTGCTTGTATGGTGGGAAAGCCCTGTCTTCCATCATGACTGACCAGGATCAAGCCATGAGGAAGGCTATTGCAAAAGTATTTCCAAGGCCGTGTACCTTCCACCGTTAGTGCATGTGGCACATTATGCAAAAGTTTGCATAGACGCTTGGTTCGTTGTCGAAATACAAAGAAATCAAGGAGGTCCTAAAGCATGTAATTTATAATAGTTTGACAGGGGAGGAGTTTGTAGAATCATGGATGGGTGTGATGGAGAAATATAAATTGAAGGGAAAAGAATGCAACAATTGGTTGGAAGGTGTGTTTGGTGTTTGTGTAATTAATGTTGTTTTTCTTTATCGTAGGCATGTTGTTTTTGGTAAATATTTGTAGTTTTTGTTTGCAGGTTTCTTTCAGGAGTGAGATATGTGGATACCGACGTACTTAAAACATGTTTTTTTGGTTGGAATACAAACAACCCCGAGAGTGGAAAGTATGAATAGCTTCTTTGATGGCTATCTACGAAAGAGTACGCGTTTGTTTCAATTTGCTCCAAGATATTGCAAGGCTATGGAGAGTAGGGCGAAGGATGAGCTAGAAGCTGATGCAAATAGAAGCCGTATTCTGCGTCCTTCTTGACGGAGGTTGCTTTGGAGCGTACTTACCAGAAAGTTTACACGGATGCAAAGTTTGAGGAGGTTCAGCTTCTATGTATGAGAGTGATGTATTTGACAGTCCTTAGTAGAAGGAACGTATCAGATACCGTGGTGGAGCATGTTATAGGACCGAATATGGATATGGTCAATGTTTTTGAAGAAAGAAATTCCCTTTAAGAATGAGAAGCGGAATGTTGTTGTGGCCTTCGACATGGAAATGTCTGATGTGGAGTGTGTTTGCAAACACTTTCAATGCCATGGAATACTTTGTAGTCATATTGTAAAAGTGTTGGATATACAGTTGGATGGTGCGGTTCCCGAGAAGTATGTCCTTGATAGGTGGTGGAAAGAAACTCATCGTAATCATACTATGGTGAAGGTAGCATACCACGATCCTTTAAAAACTGAAGAAGTACAACGATATGACAGGGCTATGTTGGCCTTTGAACCTGCTGTACTTCGGGTAATGGTTTCAGATGATTATAATGCATTATTGATAAAGCAAATTGGAGTAATGAGTTTGCGTTTGGAGGAGAAGGAGGGGAAACCTGTAGGGGTTGCATCATGGTAGGTAATAATAAGAGTAATTGTGATGAAAACCAACCACACAACAACCAATTCCCAGGTACTCCATCCTCTGTTAACAAGGGTGTTAATGGTGGTGTTCCATGTACTGGTAATCCCCCCACTCCTATGGGTGGCCCGAATTGTAGACCCACTACCCCATATCAATCTCCTTCACCAATCCCACACCTAATGGCACCCGAAATGATAGTGTGAAAGATCTGGTAAGCCAGTCAAGGAAGAAATCACCATAGAAGTAGAAAAAAAAACTGGGTCCTAAAAAGAAGAGAAAAAGTATTGGCAAAGGGAAGGGGAAAAAGGTCGTAGAAACATCAACTGATGAATCGTTAAGTGATAGTAAAGAAGAGATTGTTATTAAAAAGAAGAGAAAAAGTACCCGAAAAAGGAAGGGCAAAAAGAGGGCAGCCATAACAAGTGACGAATCTTCAAGTGAGGGTGAAGAGGAGATTGTTACAAAACAAGCTCGAATTAGTAAAGGCTCAAGCACTGCATTAATAAGTTATTACTTGTTTCTCACATTGAAAATGGCTTGTTTGAAAAGTAGTAAATGATTTCAATTAGTATTGTATGTATGTATGTATGGTCTGGTTTGATATTTTTTTGTGGCTGTTGTTATATTGATTTTTGTTGTATGGGTTGATAAAGCAGCTGGAACCATGTATGCAGTGCCCCCATGATGGAGGGACACAACCTTATCCTCTAGCACTTTTTGGTGGTTATATGGGATCAGGTTTTTATAGTCAGTCGTTCTTTGTTGGCCCTAATAGCATACCAATACGAATGCTGGTTCCTTGCGCTTTCGGTGCTAGTGTAAATTTTGATCATGGGACAGAACAAGAGGTGGGAGAGTGTAATCAGTCGGTAAGTTAACGTGGCACATTATTTACAGATATTAGTAGTTATTAGTATTCCAATTTGATTGTTAGAAGATATTTTGGTTTTCAATTGGTGGCAGGCTAGTATTGTGAACAACTGGTTAGTAGTAACGCAATAAATTACTCTTCCGTGGGTGGAATCCAGTTATCGAACACAGCTACGCTGCAGTATTTCACCAACAACTTTCAACGTCGAGCCTTGTATAAACTTGGGCTGGTCATGGTGTATTGTAATGTTATTGATTATTTGGAAAAAAAATTTGATTCCAACTTTGACGTATTTAATACCAAATTGAAAATGTGGTACCAACTTTTAGGTAATTCATACGTAGTATAATTTGTTACACCATCATTTATAGATTTGATACAAACTGCTAAAGTGGATACCAACATCCACCTAATGAATACCAACTTGCATTTTTATAAACCAACATCCACTTAATCAATACCAACGTACCCTTGATTCGAAGTGGATAAGAGTAATTTAAAAAGGTGGTCGCATCTTATCCTATTAACCTCGTCCAACTGATATATTTAAAGAATATTACTGTAGACCCTATTCATTTCAACAAAAAATGAGTCAAAAATGTCGAACAAAATGTGGAAGAGTGGATTTGATGTTGAATGGGGGTATAGCAACGGGGAAAGTGACAGAGTTGTATGGTGAAAGCGGTGTCGGGAAGACTCAAATATGCTTACAGTTACTCCTTACGTGCTTGTTTAAACCACGGGACGACGAGCTTTACAGGTCATCTATTTATATTCAAGCTTGTCCCATATTCCCGGCTGAAAGGTTGTACCGGCTCAGCTTATCGTTGTGTAATAGTGAGGAATTTGTCGGGGAAGATCCACTTAGTATGGTACAAGTTAAGAAGATTAAGAGGCCAGAAGAAATAAGTTTGGTTTTGAATCAAGTTGAGGCAATGATCATAAATTCACATGAAGGTTGTAGGCACACAAGGTTTGTAGCTCTTGATTCAATTGTGTATTTGTTTAGACGTGACCATGACAACAGTAGTAAAGGTTTCATTGAGCAAAAAAAGACGTTAGTTGCGGCCGTAAAGAAGATGAAACAAATCGCCACAAGTTACAACGTTGCATTTGTCATAGTGAATGAGGTGACTGATGTTTTTGATACATCCGATTGTGTGGATGGAAATGGTGTTCAAACCTTAACTTCAGGGAGGCAAGTGAAGGCATCCCTTGGGATGGTATGGGAAAGTCTCATGCCAAATAAGTTCTTCATTTTAAAACACTACAACACCGAAACGGATTCTTGGGAGAGGGATTGGATGGTTGTGAAGTGCAACAACAACACTCTAGTAAGTAGGCATTGTAGATTTTGTATTACAACCGTGGGGTTGAACGACTAATAAATAATATGACGTCCTTATGGTTTAGGCTTGGTAGAATGTGTATTGCTGCTACTGGGTTATTAGCGTATCCTAACAATTATCAATAATATACCTTTTAGCTGCATTCTTGTTTTAGATACTAAATAATGACTTCCGGATACCAACATACATGTTTTCGAGTAGTAGAAATTACAAACATAACATAATCAAAGAAAAATCACAAGTCATGTTCGAATGGATCATTTTCTTCATCAAACAAACTAGTGTATGTAGTCATTGTTAAACACATTCATCACGTCAAACCCTTCCTCTTCGTCTAATTCACATACTATTTCCATGGCGTCATTGTCTTCCTCTTCCTCCACCTCGTATGTCTCATATTTCTCTGTGCCATCCGTCCGAAATGTCTACGATGCTCCATAATTAATTTCATGTATTTAATAAATCAAAATGTGAAAAATTGATAATAAATGAATTGCCTTGAATTCCACCTCAGGAGAAAACCAAAGTCAATGCCAGTTTTCCTGTGCAAGTAGCGTAGCTTCAGGTAGGTAGCATTCCATCCTAGGACAATTACCCCAGGCCCTTCATCTTGTCCAAAAGCATGAAAGCAGTAGGTAATTGGTAAATCTTTGCTCAGCCGATCGATCATGGCTGTCGGTGTACGACTCTCAGTGATTAAAATAGCTACCGTGCTTAGTATCTCGTCAATCTTTTTGAAATTTTCTATGAACGATTGTCGAGTCATACCCCTAGCATTCCAAACTACAATATATTCTTCAATTATAATGGGGTCTCTATTGTTGGCAAATAAGCTGCTCGAACTAACCTCAAAAGCGTGATACCTTCTCCTTGTCTTCGACAATTTAAGAAAGTTGACCTTCATTTTGAAATCAAAAACCTTGGTGTGTACCACCATTATGTGCAAGGTGTCTGTGAAGGTTCCTATAAACAAATAATTTGGGGATGTGGGTAGCCGGAAACACGGTGTTAGCTCCGGTCTCGCCACCGACTCCGGATCAAAAATTGGTAATAAATATTTGGGGACAAGTTCACCAACCTCCAGTCGTTGAAAACACCAATTAAAAAAACGCAATTAACTTCCTTGTGTAGTCACCTAGGTCTTCCATGTGAGGTAAGTGTGATGGTGCAATCTTACCATCCACCGTCTTCATAAGCTCATGTTTGTTCCCTAAAAGTTTGACCTTCTTTTTTATAAATGCAAGCATTTCTTGTTAGATAATCTCATCCGGAATCGTGTGTCCGACTAAAAATGCAAACTCGTCGATGTATTATTTGCAACCCGTGTAATCTATTTTTGGGTTGTTTGGCTTTATTGGATCGAAATACATACAATTTTTGGGATGTAATTTGGGTTCAACATTAGATAATCTTTTAATTTCCCTTTGATAAATACGGTTTGTAATTGAAAATATCTTTGGCTTACAAAATGTTCTCACCATCTTAACAGAGTGAAAATGGTTAGTGGTAGGGAAGAAGGTTTTAAAATGTCTTGTTATATTTATACCTCTATCATAAGGACTACTATTACATACAACTACAATGGTTAATATATTTCTGATTTTTTTTGGTACCCTAAGCAGACCATTATAATATTTATCCACCTAGAGATGGTATAATATGATCTGTTGTTGGGAATAACTCTTTTCACCAAACACAAGTTGTACATATTGAAAACGTCCCTTTACACATTTGAAACATGTATTGGGAATTTGAGAAGTTTTTGACAAACTCGACAAGAGTAATCTAGAAATATGTTTGTTGGTATCTGAATCATCTATGATTGTATACTTTTACGCAAGAAAATACCTGTTAGTACTTCAAAAGGTGTTGTTTGTATTTTAACATGCATGTTGGTGTTTTATAAGTTCCGTACTTCCAAAAAGAAAAGGCTGACACTAATGTATTTTATTTGTGCAATTTCCGAGGTGAAGTACTCGGTCAAAGTTGAGTGGGAAATTTCCCCCCAAAACCAGATTTTTATTCGAATTTCAAGTTTTGGAATGCCTCCAAAATTCAACTCTTATTTAAATGTGTTTAATTGTAATTACAAATTTTGGTTATAATTAATTGTTTATATATATAAGTTATGAAAAACGTGGCAACATTACTAACCAACCAATGCAACATTCCGTTAAACCCAAAAAAATTAAAAAAGTAAAATCAACGCCTCTCTCTCTTTCCCCTCAAGAACACCATCACCATGAACATGATGGTTGCTTGGCGGCCCGGATTTAACGGATCGGAAGGCGAAATGAAGATTTTGTGGGTGGGAGCATACTGATGCCCCTGTTGTGTGTTGGTTATTGCTGACATCAGGTTCTCCGATTTCTCATCAAACCCAGGTATACCTTATTATAAGTATCGAAGATGCAACTCATTCAAGTGGGTTGAAGATAACAACCTTATTTGGGCAAACATAATGATTCCTAAAAGCCTAGTTAAAGTTGGATTGGGGGAAGTCGCCAATTACGTCTTTGATATTCGTGGTATTGGTAAATCAATTAAGCGTTTTACAATTGCTTTGGGACTTCTTGTTGTTTGTCTTCTTTTTAGGATGTAAGTAATTACTAACCTGATCCCTAATTTTGCCACACCTTCGGGATCTTATCCATGACGGATATGGTTAATATATTAAAGTAGTACTACCTTCTACATTTGGCTTGTTACACTTGGAATGTAAATCAATTAATATATCATTTAATATATTTATATTGTGTTGTTGCTAGTTATTT